ATAATAACAATAGTATTCATTATTATAATAAAAGAATCATTGAGTCTAATAGAACACATCGTTGCAGCTTGACACCATTTATCATGTGTTGAATATTGGAATTCCCCAATTCCCTAAACAGTGTTAAACTTAGTCTGTATAAGACCCTTCTCTGAGTCTAGTCTCAGGCCAGAGGAATGAGAGAATGATGCAAATGAGAGCTACACCAAACACTGTGGTCAACTCTTGGTCTAGTGGTGGCTAAGGAGTAGCTGAGTAGTTGAGTATGGATGGAAGTTAGAGACAGAGCTTCAATATCTAGGTTGGTATGTATGTCTATCAAAAAAGCTTACCAGAGTACAGACAAAACCAGAAACATAGAAGATTATACAATCCAGGAACAAGAGCAGAGGCACAATTCAATATGGCACTGACATTTACAGCATTGTAATTTTTTTGAGTAGTAGTCTTAGAGTTAGAACCTCTCAACCTCTCTCAATACAATACATCTCATTTAATAAGTGTATTGACTAGATTTATAGCCTAAAATATTTTGATATTTCTGTTGTGTATTTGTATATGTATGTATGTATTCCTTGCTCTAAGCTCTCCAAAGATCTGGGAGAACAATTAGGTCCAAATAGAAAATTTTTCTTAAAAGTCTAGTAATTAAAAGACTACTTCAACTTTCTTAGATTTATTTTTTAGTGCAATACTTGCATTTCTAGTTTGAAAAGAAATACAAGAGGATCAGGTTGGTAGTTTTATTTAGTCTCTGTTCTGAATCTTGGCCCTGATCCAAAAAGTTTATCTTAAGACTAACTTTGCAAAAGCAAATCAATAGACTCTGTCCAATGTGCTTGTTAAGTGAACTACAATTATTAACCACTCTCATTTCCTAGGTGTGGGGAATATTTTCTAAATATTAATATTAATACTAGTAAATCTGGCAAAACCACTAAGACCAATGCCAGAAGACTTTATACTTTCAGAATTCTTCATACTGGCAGAAGAAAAAAGAAAGAAAACAAAACTATTCAAAACTTAAAGAAATATTACTAGCTAATTTCAGAAAGATCAGAAGGAATGAATTTGTTTATAGACCACATATGAAAATTTGTTAGATATTATGATTACTATCCAAACTGAAGATAACTTTTTCAAAAAGTCATTTTTGTTTGTCTGTTTGATTGGTTTTTGTTTTTTTGTTTGTTTGTGTGTTCGCTTTGAATCATGCACATTAGCACTTACAGTTTTCGGGTATATCACAGCAATACCTCTTTATACAATACTTGTTGCTATTATCAGAATAATAAATATCTGCTCTTAGAAACCTGTCTTCTGTTTGAGAACAAACAGCAGTGTAGTTCAGAATGTCAAGATTTATCAGCTGCATATCTTATTTAAATTTTCTATCATTTTTCTTAATAATGACCACCTAAAGGGGGGTTTAGAATTTCTCTGACAGATGTATTTACACCTCCTTTCTCTTTTATTCTTCTGAAATTCTCTTTTAATAATGGGAACAAATACTGAAAAAGTGATGATTGTTTCTATTTTCTAGAAATTATTTAGCTTTTGCCACTTATGTATAGGTCACTATCATCAACTTATGTAGTTTTTCTTATGTATAGCACAGCTTTATTTTATAATTTGTTGATCTCTCCAACTAACAGAAATGGGTGACTTTATATTTCCCCTTATGAAATAACAACAACCAAATAGATATTCATATCAAATAACATTACAGCACTTGATTCATTTTTTATTATGTAAAGACAGAGCAGGCAGTTATTGTCTAGGAAACAAAGGTACCTGGACTTCTGGTGTCCTGACAGTGACTCTCCCTATTTAATTTATGGATTTTTAAGCTACTGAGTTTAGGCCATATTGCTCTGAAAGCCTGCATATTAAGACATTCTTATGGACTTCATTAGTTGATTAAAAAATGACAAAGAATTTCATTCTTTAAAAATTGAGTTATCTAAACATTATTGCACTATTCATGTCTATATTAAAAACATTACATTATGTTTTTAGAAATCTGCTGAAGATAAGTCTCATACTAAATGTTCTCATCTCAACAATACACTGGCAATGTTTATCTCAGTTTAACATGAATAAAATACTATGGAAAACACATGTACTTTCCTCAGTTCTGTACTCAGTTCTGCTACAGTAGCATAAATGAATTCCTAAATGTTACTGAGATGATTAAATAGCATAATAAAACCTACAAAATTACCAACAAGTCACTTCATTAGTAATTTCATGAAAAGAATCATAAGCATATTAGCTCAGTTTCACTTATTTGATAGTTAAAAGAGCACAAGTACAATAAATAACACGTTTTCTTCGAACATCTAATACTTGTTTGTGGAACAGCATATTTTCATGTCTGCTTTGATGGACCATTTGGGGTCTAACCTCACTGTGTGGTATGGAGGGAGATGACAAAAGAGGTGTGAGATGGAAAAAGAAACATGGAATGGAAAGAAAAATTCAAAAGAGTGAGAGACAAAGAAAAATAGATGGGAGGCAGCAGGGGATAGGTGGCTCTGGTAACTGGAAAAATTGTGAGTTTTTGTAAAGTAGTGGTGGAGGAGTGTGAACAATTCAATGACTAGTGGAAACACCAGGTGTGGCTCTGTGCATCCCAGCATCATTGTGGTATCAGAGTCTGTGTGTGACAGTTTTATTTAAAGAGAAGGAAAGATAATATATTTTCCTTACTCACTACAAGGTTTCAATGGCTGAAACTCCTACAATCACAAAGTAATAACAGAAAAACCTGACAAATACATTTTAAGTAAAAATCCCTTCTTTAACACTGACTGAGGTGGTATGACAACAAGGAGATTTTGTACACTGTGGTTGATACACAGACTGGGTAGTAGCATTTGCCAGTATCATTGTTCCACTCTCAAAGCATAAATACCATACAGTGAAGACCAATTATTTCTTTGTATTTTCATAAACATCCTAGTTCTCTTTTTAATTTAAAAAAATATTGAAGATATGAAAAACATCTCCTACAAGATGGACTTCTCCATAAAACTGTAGCTACATGATGCCTTTCATCTATCATGTTAAAATGTGCATCAAAGACAAATACAAAAAGCATTAAAACAATCCACCATTCTTTAACAATTGAACAAAGATAAAATTCATAAGGAACAACATGGATGACTTGTAGAGGATGGGCACTTTAAACACCATTAAAAAAAAGAGAGAGCACAGAAGAATGGGTGTTCAGTTATATATCCTGAAGTGAATGTTTAACATTAGGAATCAGAGCATTAACACATATTACAGAAGTGTGTAGTGTCAGAGGAACAGAACTACCAGCATTCAAAAGCAGCTTTGTCAACTAGATAATAAAACACTCTAGGGCATGTCTCTGTTGTCCATCACTGATACACTGGCAGAAACTTTGAAATGAAAAAAAGAAAGAAAAAAGAGCAGCCACTCCTTTTATTTTCTCTGTTAAAAAGCAAACGTTAACTCTGTTATACACTAAAGGTCTTCAAAGTACCTCATTTGCACAAGGGATGGACTAAGAAACAAACTGTTTTCAGAGACCCAAGCACAAGTGAAAGAGAGCACACCCCTTACACAGTTTTCATAGGGTACTCATAATCATTGGCACTGAACAAAGTTGCAGAATTCTTCTCTAGGTACTTGAGGAAGTCATGTAGATAGTTCAGTAATAAATCAAGGATTTTCTCATCTAGAGGTGTAGAGGCCAACATCGCTCCAATTCAAATGACTAATCTCAGCAAATAGCAAATGTGGTTCTCCATACACCTGGGACATGGGTGCATACGGGTGAATGGCGAGAATTTCAGAATACTGTGTGGTCTCAAATTTGTAGAATAGCGGAGTGCCCAGCATTACATTGTAGTACTCCTTTATTCCTGCCACAACCTTATTATCAGCATATTTCTAATTATCTGTATTTCCTCTAGTCTTCATATAATTTGAATAATCCTCCAAAATAGAACTCACATTCTTCTTGGCAGGAAGATTTTTAAAAATCTGCTTTTGTCTGACTATCAAGCCCCAGTCATCCACAAGCCATGGTTCCAGCTCTTCAGGAATCTTCACTTTAACTTCAACTCTGTTCATGAATATTTCTTCATTTTCAGCAGTAAGATCTACCCAGGCTCTCTTCTTCCTATGTGGCTGAGGTATCTCAGTGATACTGCCACCATCTCCATTTCCAGGTGTTTTCTGCTTGTTCTTTCTGTTTTCACATCAACATTTTTCTGTTGCAGACCAGATGTCTTCCTCTCTGGAGCAGCCTCTCTCATCCTGCCCTCTGAATATTTTTCCTGATTGACCTTTTGAAGTTCTCGCTGTTTCTGCAAATTGGTGTCCACATATTTGAGTACTCTGGTTTCTGGTACCCATTCATTCCAATTTTTATTCCAACCACTGTAATGGATAAAATACTTCACTTCTTTTTACTTTACATACTTTGCTTCACAAAGAAGAGACCCATGAAAGCAAAGAACTCACTCACCCTCTTGGAATTTAGGTTTCAGGTCCTGCTTGGGCATCGTATATAAGTGATTTACTGCTTCCTCCTTCTCCCACCACCCCAGATTCCCCAGGTCTTACATATGTTAATTTGAGAGATATTCTGGTAATGACAGTTCATTGCACTCATTGTTTAACTCCATCAATGAGAAACCTAGAATAAGCTTGTGAGTTGTAATACTTATTAAACAGCCTTTAAAAAGCCCAAGAAAATTTTTGGTTAAAATTGTGTACATTAAGAAGCTAGACAATTGACTCAGATGTTATGAACATTTGTTTCTCCTGCAGAGGAGCCAGATTCATTCTCCACAATTAATATGATGGCTGCTAACCTCTCATGACTCCAGTATGAGGGTATCTAATGTCATTTTTTGTCCTCTGCCATTATCAGACATAATTTATAGTGCACAAACATAAATTTAGGCAAAGCACTCATACACATACAAAAATAAATAAACCTTTAAAGTATTTTAGGTTAGCCTGCCCCTAGAGGCATGGTAGGTGTAACTACTGTTGTCACATGTATGTCAGTGGGTAGCAGAGAGGAGAGAGGCTATGTCTATTCTCAGTGTTCTGACATATAAACATCTGAATGATTAGCAGCTCAATATTCCCTGAAAAAAAAAAACTCCTGAGATGACCAAGAATCTGGTATCAGTTAGGCCTAGATGGACACCCAGGAAGGGGAGTAAGCTAGAGACAAGAAAAACAACACCTATGGGCCCTGGGCAGGAGTGAGCCTGAGACAGACAGATGACCCTTGCAAGGGTCACTTAGCCTAGGTGAGGTGTGAGCCTGAGAAAACCATCAGACCACAGCCATAGGTTCTGGCAAAGGGATTAGCCTAAGATGACCCCCATGCCATCACTAAACAGGCCTGGTATGAGTAGAACAGACTCCCAGATGATCCCTGCCCCATGTCATAATGCATTAGCAGGGCATAGCACTCCTGAGACCACTCCTGAGATGACCCCAGACACTGAGAGACTCCAGGCACCACTAAGAGGAGCAAGTAACTGGTAGAGAAATAGAAGAAAAAAAGAAAGAGAAGGATGTAGGCACAATGAAGAAAAGCAAGATTAGAAACCAGTGGACAGCAGAAGACTAGTATGTATGATGTGAGTAGCTGGTGATATTCCCTTGGAACATGGTGAGGTTTTAGCCTGTGCTGCCACTGGGGGCCGTCTCTTGATCTGTTGCCTTGTAGAAGTAGTGGTCTATCACCACCAAAAGCTACACAGTCATTCTGGGTCGGGGCTGACTCATTCCTGGGAGACATATTAACATCTCAAGTTTGTGCAGAACTGGCCCCATCCTCATGTATGCATTGTGTGTGTGGGGGGGGGAAGGGGGCTGGACCTGATGGCATGAGAGTAAGAGAGTTGACTCTGAGCTAGACTGCTGCAGTACAGGAGTTTCATGAAGGTGAGCAGGCCCTGAAGATAAAAGTGTAGCAGAGTTGGCCCTAACACTTATCTCATGTATGATAGCATGGGTGAGGGCAAGACACCCTTCTCCCACCTTGCCGCTCATCACCTGTGGCAGGTAAGAGATCTGGCCCTAGTGTAATAAGAGCAGGAATTCTGGCTTCTGTATCTTGGGTACTAGGCCTCAGGGCATAGTTTTATCTTCTTCTCACCCAATGGCCCACCCCATATTTTAGTATGGCTTCTAGAATATCAGGTATCATGGCCACATTTTAAGCAGGCATAAAGAATTGGCAGAGATTATCCCCTTTTAGGAACATACACCTGGAATAGTTCTAACAGTCAAAGCACAATCTATATCAGAGTTTAAGCATCTAGCAGCAAGAAAGACATGGAATTCTTTTACCAGCTAGACACACATCTACTTAAAACAACTCAGGGGACTGAATCTCTTTTAGAAACAATCTTTTATTAAGAAAAAATTGAACAATAAAGCAATTTTAATCCTATATATTCATATTGTATAATATAACATATGTTTGGACAAATATTTTGTACTACTATTTAAAATTATAATTTCAAACCCTATAATTTGAATTTAGAACTATATGGTAAAATCGTTAATCTGAAAGGCACACACTAGTGAACAGTTAAACTTTAATCAATCTAAGTTCTAAGTCAATCTCTGAGAACTATTTTGTACTGCCTTTTTCTTAAGTTATAGAAAAATACTATATTCCTGTATTCAAGAGGGAAAATTATTTTCAAGTATCTATTAAATGTCAGTTTATTATTAAATGAGATATTTCACAAATGAACTAAAGTCTAGAAAATAACCTACTATCTCATTAATGAACAACGCTGTTTGGAAACATGGTCCTAAAGTCACATATCAACTGTTAAAGATTTGTTTTGGCATTTGGTAGCATAGCCTCAGTGTCAAAGGATAGTTTTGTAAATCATTAGAATACTGTTCATTAGGTGAATGATATGATACTGATTTTTTTTTTGTTTCTGAAATAGAGTCTAATGCCAAGATCAATGCTAAGCTCAACTACTGATGTAAACTCAACAGAGATTATCAATAGATATTTTTACTGGATTGATCCCAGTAAAAAATTATCAGTTAATCTTCTAGGATGGTAGGGTGGCAGGACCAAAACCAGCTTCCTTCAGTGTTTGAAACAGAAGGAAAATTCAGAGAGAGAGATACTCACAATTTTCCCTATGAGGGATCCTAGTTTGATATATCAGTATTGATAGGAGTTCAGGATGTGTCCTTAGAATAACATGAATACATAAAAATTTTACAATTTATTTAAATTGGTGTTTTTTTAAATGGAGTTCTTTAAGAAGCAAGGCAAGAAGGGTCAAAAGTTCAAATAAATAATCAAAATATTTGTATAACATATACTTTCTTCTCTCTGTGTATGTCTGTCTTTGTCTATTTCTTTCTGTCTGTCTCTCATTTTCATCCCCCTCAACACACAGAGTATACCAGCAATTAGATCTTTTATATTTCAGTTTAGATTGTGAAACATATGAATAGCATTCTAAATTTGGAAAGATTTTGTAGCCACCAGGTCAGAGCATTATTTAGTTTATGTTTTGAAATGTTTAATACAAGAAGAAGGAACAGCAAAATGTGGATACTTCAATCCTTCTTAGAAGGGGGAACAAAATATGTGCGGTAGAGAGTGGGAGGGACTTGGGTGGAAGACAGGAGGGGGAAGGGGAAAAGGAGGCAGGATCAGGTATGAGAAGAAATGGGGTCATGAATTTGGACAGACATGTGTATCAATGGGAGATGGGGATCTGAGGGTAGCCACCAGCAAGTCCCAGATGCCAGGAAAGCAAGAGGCTCCCAGGACCAAACAGGGATGAGATTAGCTGAAATGACCAACCAAGCGGAGGCAGAACCTGTAGAGACCATATGCAGAGGTTGGAAAAGGCTCATTGTTGGAGGATGGGACAATCCACTCATCTCCAAATTAGCAACTCAGAAGGGCTCCTGTCTAAAGGAAATACAGGGACAAAGTGTAGAGCAGAGACTGAAGGAAAGGCCATTTAGAGACTTCCCCACCTGGGGATGTGTCCCATATACAGATACCAATTCAAGACACTATTGCTGATGCTAAGAATTGCTTGCTGACAGGAGCCTGTTATAGCTGTCTCCTGAGAGGCTCTGTCAGAGTCTGATAAATACAGAGGCTGATGCTCTCAGCCAACCATTGGACTTAGTACAGGGTCCCCAATGGAGTTACACAAAAAGCTGAAGGAACTGAAGGGGTTTGTAACCCCACAGAAAGAACAACAGTATCAACCATCCAGACCCCCTAGATCTCTCAGGGACTAAATCACCAACCAAAGAGTCCACATGGAGGGATCCATGGCCCCAGCCGCATATGTAGCAGAGGATGGTATTACCTGGCATCCATAGAAGAAGCCCTTGGTCCTGTGAAGGCTTGATTCCCCAGTGTAAGGGAATGCCAGGGTGGTAAGGTGAGAGTAGGTGAGTGAGTGAAAGGGGGAGCTTTAATGAGGATAAAAGCAAGGGAAGGGGTATGGGAGACAGGGGTTCTGTAGAGGAAACTTGGAAAGGAGATAACATTTGAAATATAAATACATAAAATCTCCAATAAATAAAAAAAAGTTTAATAATTTTCTATGTGACTGAATAAGTAAATTAGGGATTAAGAAATTATAGTTTATATTATTTGAGAAAGTTATCCATTTTAAATTGTCTTCTTTAATGTATTTGGTAATGAGATCTTTGTTTTATTTCCTTAAGAATACAAGATAAAGATACAATTTACCTTGACTACTCCTGTATCTATAAAATTATTGCCTACCGATGCTCTCCATTGCTTATATATACAGATTCCTTTTCAGCTGCATTCATTTAATTAGTACTTGGTAACATTTCAAGTTCTTGATAACTTGATTGATTTTGAGCAAAGTCAATAGAACATAGATTCCTTATTTAAGTACAGTTCAATAGAAAGACTCTCACTGAACATCAATTAGACTTCACTGAGATTTTAAGATAATTCCTTTGATATTATATCTCATTTAATAATAATGAAACAGAGAAGGTATGCCAGGATCTGAAATAAATTACAGTCAGCATATAAACTTTATTTTACGACATATTTAGGTGTCAGTTCCACTAAACTTTCAAATAACCTAAAAATACATTACAGGTATTTATTAAATATTCAGTGTGCTATCATTTCCTAGTGATGATCTCAAATGTATTGAATAAAAGTCCATTGTTTATATGCACCACATTTTCATTGTCCACTCATAAGCTGCTAGAAATCTAGGCTGGTCTCATTTCCTAGCTATTGAGAATGTAAGAACAGCTAATGCTTTTTTGACATTTTCTTTGTTTAATTTCTTTAAATAACTAAAATATAATTACATTATCTCCCTACTTTTCTTTCCTTTCTGTAACTTATTCTCTTTCCTCTTTTTCCAGCTCTTTTATGTCTTCTCCACAGACACTACCCAGGCCTCCTTAACCACAGATACCAACACGTCCTCAGGTGGTACCATGGACCACAGACACTGTCACAGCCTCTGTGGAAGTACAGACCACAGACATGGACATCCATGTAGATCATAGACATCAATGAGTCCTGAAACATCAGTACAGCCCACAGACACCAGCATGTTCTCTGGTTGTAGCATCGATGATAGATACCTACATGGACTCCAAGGGGCAGTACGGACTATGAATGTTTCTCTAGGATGCCCAATACAGAAAATGTAATCTTCTTCTTCTTAGACATCCTGTCATTGTTCATAGCTAAGGTGATCATGAGGCTGGGCAGTGCATTTGAAAGCAGCACTTTAGTGTTCTCATAGCTGCTGCCCACCGCCTTCCAGCCCTACTTGTCAACCACATGCTCCCTCATCCACCACATCCTTCTCCCACACCTTTGCACTTCTAATTCTGCTTCTCTCCATGGCTCAGAAGCTGACCAGTTCCTCCATCTTTCCCACTGCTCCATCATATATTTATTTGTCAAAGTGGCATTGCAAATTGCAGTTTCTCACACAGTACATATTTTTATGAGGCAGTGAAACAATAAAATTCCAATATCTACAAAAGAGAATGAAAGACTAAAAAAAAAATGAATGAAGTTGGCTATTTCCACCAGAGACTTACATATAAATAAA